TATCAGGGGGATTTGCCTCAGGCGGCCCAACTATGAAGGGGATCAAGTAGGACGCCCGGAACTTAGGAAAGGTGATGCAAATGGACTCAATAAAGGCCGAACCCTTTCCCGAAGTAATCACCAGTGAGGCCGATCGGTGGGAGGTCAAAGCTCTGCACAATGATCCCATGGTATTCATTATGAAGATAGCCAATTTGAAGGTCGGACGAATATTGATTGACACGGGTAGCGCGGCCGATATCATCAGCCTGGCCACCTTGAAGAATCTAAGCTTCCCAGAGGATGCTCTCCAGGACATCACTCACCCATTGGTCGGATTTGGGGGGAATGTTATCCATCCGATTGGGCGGATAGAGTTACCTGTCCGCTTTGGGCAAAAAGGGGAGGGAAGAGATATGGTTGTCCGTTTCCTGGTTGTGAAAGAGCTGACTGGATATAATGTCATACTCGGTCGTCCTACACTGAACGCAGCCAAAGCAGTCATTGTACCTCACCTAATGCTGCTAAAGTTCGAGAGGACGGATGCAAAAAAAGGGACAATCCAAGGGAGTTAGAAGATGGCGAAGGAATGTAATCAGTTGGCCGTTAAGCCTACAACGCGTGGACCAAAGGCGTCCGAGCCAAAAGAAGAAGGAACCTCACTCCCAGCACACCAGGTCAGCCAGAAGCGTAAGGCGGCCAAGATAGAGCAAGCATAGCAGCTAATGATTGTCGGTCGGCCAGAAGAGTTACGACCCCAGCCGACCGGCAGTCACCAAGATATAGTGCTTGACCCCGATCAACCAGGTCGGACGGTTAGTGTGGGCACTATAGCTTTGGGTGTGCTTGGGGATGAGTTAATTCAACTGTTGAGAGAGTTCAAGGATGTATTTGCATTTGATGTTAGTGAGATGTCAGGAATAAGCCCTGACCTGGCCATGCACAAGTTGGCTGTAAATCCAGCCATTAACCTGTCCGCCAAAAGAAAAGGAATCATGGAGAAGAGAGGAATCAGGCGGCCGCGGCTGAAGTAAAAAAGCTGCTGGACGCCGATTTCATTCGGCAATGTTATTACCCAGACTGGGTAGCCAATGTGGTTCTCGTGAAGAAGCCGAATGGAACTTGGAGAATGTGTGTGGATTACACCGACCTGAACAAGGCATGCCCTAAGGATAGCTTTCCCTTGCCCAAAATCGACCGCCTGGTTGATTTAACGGCCGGGCATGCCCTGATGAGTTTTATGGACGCATACTCCGGATTCCATCAAATTCCATTATGGGAAGAAGATCAAGAGAAAACAACGTTCGTAATTGAGCAGGGGTTGTACTGTTACAAAGTTATGCCATTCGGCCTTAAGAATGCCCCATCTACCTTTCAACGACTTTTTAATACAGTCTTCAGAGATCAGCTCGGCCGGAATATGGAGGCGTACATTGATGACATGATTGTCAAGTCAAAAGAGTCGGCCGACCATCTGAAGGATCTGCGAGAAACTTTTACCGAACTCAAGCGGCATAAGATGATGTTAAATCCTAAAAAATGTGTCTTTGGTGTTGAGCCCAGTAAATTTCTCGGATTTTTAATTGATCGGCGTGGAATTGAGGCCAACTCTGAAAAGATTCAAGCCGTCCTGGACATGAAGTCACCAAGAACGATTAAAGAAGTACAAAGATTGTAACACCCCCGATTTACTAGCTAATAATAAACAATACATAAAGGAAAAATAAACAACCTTTAAATAAACTAGCGGAAGCATACACCTAAATCGGAGGTATTACCGCCACACTCGACAACCTGTCAAGTGTTAAGGCTTACAAAATCCCAATAATTACAACCCAATAAACTAGGTGAGCTATTTATACAACTTTATAAACTTGTTATGGACAAACTAATCAATCACTTGAGCTCCTTTAGCTACGATCATTTGATATACCTGCTTAAACAACTTGGCTGCTCACCATTAAGGACAAATTCCAAAATAGATCGTCGCAGGGCCACCATATGAAAAAGACATGGCCGCAAACAAAAGTAGCACAACAAAACAACACACACGTCAGCAAAAGCTGAGTAATCACCACATATCAGAATATAAAGTATAACATAATAATTAACATTACTAGATCAATTAAACAATTTAGTTCGAAACTACATTACACATTTTACTCTGAAAAATAACCTTTATCAACTCAACCTCGAATAATAATACGATCCTTTACTCAATCAACTCATATAACCCATAAGTGTTCCATGCTCGTTGTTCTATACCTAGCCATGGACATGGGTAATTCGAATAACAAACCAACAAGTATAAAAACTTGAATACTCCCAATAACCAGAAAACACCTTGAACCAGACCACATACGGGCTAATTCCCACTATATGGGACCATAGAAAAATAAATATAAATAAAGATTGTACCTCATTCTTAACTCATGATTATTACCCTTTTACCAACAAGCCAAGGACTAAGTTATATAACGCCGAGCCTCAACCCAAGAACAAAACAATAATTCTCAACCTTTTGATCTCATACTTGATCAAATAATCATAAACTTGATAATAAATAGTATCTCAATAATGGCACATGTTCCCAATTAACATGACAATTCGATCACAATATCTCAACTCTTAAAAAAAATACTAATGACCCAAATATAATCAAATCTCCATCCAAAAAAAATACTCTGCATTAACAACCCTAAAACCTTGATAAAACAATACTCCCTATAACAACAACATTAAAAACCTTAGAAATAACACAATCAATCAATGTGACAATTAAATCATATAATACCACACACTAATCATATACATATAAATCATGATCATATATAATTCACAAATTATAAAATTTACACATAACAATACGGAGTACAATTAATGCGAACAATTTATAATCAAACAAATAAAAAAAAATTAATTAAGATCGTGTGATTACCGTCACGGACATATAGTCTTCGTTTTGCTTGACGAGGAGAACATCACACTTTCTTTCACATTGTATAATAAAGTCTCATGAATATGAGATGCTTATTCATGCGCACCAACACACAAGAGTTGACTTTGATTTAGAAAATCCAATTGATGATAATTTGCATCATCATGTTAAAGGCAAAAGTAGTAAACTCAATTTTTGCAGAGTACAGAGTTGGGGTAAGCCGAGGCAAACGTAATATAATTAGGGTATAAGAAGTATTTATAGTTTATAAACAAGACTTTTATAAGATATAAAATAAGGTTTCAAACTTTCCAAAAATAAACTACGTAGATAAGGAAGGTTACTTAATAATTAAAATAACTTAATTTATACGTATAAATTTATAAAATATTCAGGTATTACAAAGATTGACCGGCTGTTTAGCAGCACTTGGTAGATTTCTGTCAAGATCAGGGGATAAGTGTCGTTATTTCTTTCAAACCGTCAAGAAGAAAGCCATGTTTGAATGGACAGAGGAGGCCGAGGAAGCATTCGTACAGCTAAAAAGCCACCTTCATACATTGCCTCGGCTTGTCAGTCCACTCAAGAGTGAGAAGTTATTTATCTATCTCGCCATCTCTGAACACTCTCTAAGTGTCGTCCTACATGCTGAACGTGACGGCCACGAGATCCCATCCTACTTTATCATCCATGTACTTCACAACGCTGAGCTGAGGTATCCCATTATTGAAAAATTTGGTTTGGCATTGTACATGGCATCGAAAAAGCTGCGGCCATACTTTTTGGCACATTCAATTGTGGTCTACACTGACCAACCTCTGAAGAAGTCATTTACAACTCTAGAGGAAAGTGGTCGTATGCTCAAGTGGGCCTTGGAAATGAGAGGCTTTGACATTACGTTTGAGCCACGAAAAGCAATCAAGGGGCAAGCCTTTGTTGATTTCTTAGCTGAAATGACTCGGCCGGATCTACAACCGGCAAGAGACCAGGTCTGGAAGGTGTTCATGGATGGTAGTGCAACAGCTACCGGGTGTGGTGCAGGTGTCATATGTCAGTCCCCTGAGGGAGATAAGTTTGAGTACGCTATGAGATTTCAGTTCCAAGCCTCCAATTATGAGGTTGAGTATGAAGCCCTCCTGGTCGGCCTTAGAATGTGTAAGGCGGTAGGAGCAACAAAAGTTGATGTGAGCTCAGACTCCCTACTTGTAGTTGGCCAGGTGAATGGAGACTTCGAGGAAAGGGAGCCGGCTATGATAAAATACCTGAAAATTGTCAAGGAGGAGGCTAAGGGCCTAGATCATTTTACTCTACAACAAGTTCCTCGTTCGTCTAATCATCAGGCGGACGCCCTCTCTAAATTAGCATCCTCAGTATCATGTGATACCCCCAGGTCGGTAACCTGGGAGGTAAGGGAAAGAAGGAGTATTGATGCCGAGCCGGTACATATCATTGATAGAAGCTCCACTTGGATGGACGGGATCATATCCTATCTAAAAGATAGATTACTCCCGGTCGATCCTAAAGAGAGCTGGCTGATGAAAAAGAGAGCGGCCTGGTTCAAAATGAAGCAGGGGGAGTTGTTTAAAAAGGCATTTGTGAAGCCGTACCTGATGTGTATCACTCTTGAGAAAGGGCATGATGTCCTGGACGATCTTCACCAGGGGCAGTGCGGCTCTCATATTGGAGGACGAGCCTTGGCTGAAAAGGCTGCCCATCTGGGCTACTACTGGCCGAGCTTAAAGTCGGACACCATGAAAATGGTGAAGAAATGTGACAAGTGCTAGAGATTTGCAACCTTGATCCATCACCCCGCTAACAGCCTGTCGGCCATCAGTAGTCCGCTCCCCTTCGCCAAATGGGGGATGGATATTTTAGGACCGTACACACCAGCATCTGGTCAAAGGCATTATGTGTTTGTAGCAGTAGACTACTTCACAAAGTGGGTGGAGGCCGAGGCTGTACAGGGCATCAAGTGGACGGATGTTTCAGCCTTCATATGGAAGAATATCATTACACGTTTTGGCTTCCCTCAGACTATGGTGTTCGACAATGGACCTCAGTTTGAAACGCCTCAACTCAAAGGATGGTTGGAGGACCAAGGCATAGCTCATTGCTTGCTTCAGTCGGCCGACCACAAGCCAATGGCCAAGTAGAGGCATACAACAAGTTGATCTCCAATGGAATCAAGCGCAAGCTTGAAAGGGCAGGCGGCTTATGGGCTGATGAGTTGGTTAATGTATTATGGTCTAAACGAACCACGGCCAAGAGCTCCACAGCAGAAACTCCATTCTTTTTGGTCTATGGCGCAGAGGTTGTCCTTCCAATTGAGATGTATGAGCCCACCCTTAGGGTGATGCTATATGATGAAACGACTAATTGGGAAGCCATGAAGACCGCCCTAGACTTCCTTCCTGAGGTTAGGGGCAACGCGGCGCTTAGACACGAAATCTATCGCCTAAGGATGACAAGGGCATACAATCGCAGAGTGTTAAAGCGGCCGCTAAAACTGGGAGATCTAGTCCTAAGGAAGATGGAGGCTGTGGGACGAGCAAATGAAAACGGAAAGTTGACCCAAAACTCGGAAGGGCCGTATTGAATTAGGGAAGAAGTCCGAGATGGGACTTACCGTCTTGAAGCCATGAACGGCCGACCTATTCCACGAACATAGAACCCTGACAATTTGAAGAAATATTATGTTTAAGTTTAAGTACTTAGCCAAAAGTTGTATATACAGCTAGGTTTGTTGACCGAGCAATGTAAGCCATACGGCCACAACAATGTAATTTTGACAAATTAATGAAAAGTCAAACATTGTTATATTATTTTCCATTCTATTTATGCTTATTTTCACGGTCATAGTCTACACAGAATTGCCGCGTAAAATTTATGATTACGTTTCTTGCAACCCGGTCGCAGAAAATAATAATAAAAAAAACGAGCGACTTGACCTTAAGTCGCATGTATACGTCCGTCCCTCACTGAGGCGGATGGAAAAGGTAAGGTACCCTATGAAACCCCTCTAATGGGGCAAGGGCATACCTAGGCATTCCAGCCCAGCCCAAAACTTAGAAATTTTAAGTTGAGATCATACTTGAAACTTTTTTTTTGAGCGCGTCCGTAGGGTAGTTTCAACGGACAAACTCGCATAAAGCCAATCGAACGGCCAAATAATGTGTTGATTTGGCGTACCACCTAGTCCAAGAGCAATCATTACTATGATTTGATTGACTTGCTAGTAGTCATACCCCCCAAGGTATAAATCCTACAAAGTAAATCAAACCACTTAAAATATGGACTAGGCGAACGCCGAATAAAGGGCATACCCCCCAATTGTACGAGGATACAAAAACGTGTAAAAAAAACGCGTACGAAAAGGCAAAAACATGTTAAGTGTAAAATTTGTAAAGTATGAAGCATAATAGAAAACTTGGATTAATAAAAAGACCGCTCAAAGGGCGGCAAAGTATCTTACATAAAACCGCTCGAAAAAGCGGTAGATAAAGAAAATAGAAATTAACTAAAAAAGAAAGAAAAAGCTGAAATCAAGGGGCGGCTGGGGTAGAAGCTGGACTTTGGCCTAGGCCGGGCTCTTAAACGACGGCAAGGGACGCGTCTTCAACAGGCGCCTCCTTGCTTTCCACTTCACCGTCTTTGTCGGCCGTCACTTCTTCGTTTTCCTCCTCTTCGGAGGTATTTGGTGTGACGTCCAGCTTAGGAGAAGGTTGCCCGGCCTTCTTAGCCTCTTCTTTGAGGCAGACAGAGTTGAGGCGTTTGGTGAAGCGTTCTTCATAAAAGGTCGCCTCGCCCTTGTCCACCATGAGCTCAAAAGCCTCAAAGAAGTGGCTCTTCAGCCTATCCTCAGCATTCTATTCAATGCGGACGACCTCATCCGCACTAGGGGCCCGAGGAGTTTGCAACTGTAGAGTCAAGTCCTCAACGGACTTCTTTAAACTCTCTACCTCGGCTCTAAGAACGTCCGCCTTGTCCAAGGCCTCCTTCAAGTGTTTTTGGGCTAAAGCCACTTCACTTCTAAGCTTTTCGGAGGCCTCAAATCCTTCCTTCTAACGCTGGTCGTCTAGAAGGTCCTGATCCCTCTCTTGTCTCATGGCATTCCTGGCCACGGACTCTTGCTCCAGGGCCTGGCCCAGCTTCACCAAATCTTCAGCCTGTCGCGCCGCCTTGTCGGACAGCGCGTTGATTTGGGTTTCAAAATATCGGCGATGGACGGCCGTTTCCCTAGTAATGGCATCATGGGTCTTCTGAATCTGGTCCCAGGCATGCTTCATCCTCTCATTCTCCTTGTCCTTCCATTCAAGGAAGGCATTCAACCGCAGGAAGAGCTGTGTACAGGGAAAACATGTTAGCAAAATAAGAATGAAGAATTGACTAAGTATGACAGTTGAAAGAGAAATTACCTCAGCACCGCAGTTGATCATTGGGCCAAGGAAGCCCTCGTGGATCCCCCGTAGCTTGTCTCGCTGCTCAGCGGGGACCGCCCTTGCCATGGCCTTCCTGTCCGCGCCCGTAAGGGATTGGCCGGGCAGCTTCATATGCAGCTCCTCTACAATGTCTGTGCAAGGGCGTAAAAATAAAAGTTTAGCTCAGGTTCAATCGGACTTATAAAGAGCGAAATAAAGGATTCAAAGGTACTTGGACTGACCGTTAGAGAAGATCGGAGGGTTAGGAAGATTGAAGGTGAATGACGGGGGCGGTGCAGGCTCATCACCCTCTTCCCCCGTCCGGCCAGGCTGGTCGCCAGCCGACTAAAAGGCTTCAAGCCAATTAGATTCGTGGACCCTTTGTACGGCGGAGTCACTTCTGGCCCGGTCGGTTTTGTCGGGGTCGACTTACCCCTATCGTCCGATTTCTCGGACTTGCCATGAACCGGCGTGGCGGCCGGATCCATAGACTTGGAGGCCCCGCTATCACTCATCCGGGGTTGTTCTCCTTTGGACTGCTTAGAGACAGTCCGCGACGTGGTCTTGGCCGCAGTGGTGGAAGTGGTCTTGGATGAGACCGTCTTCCTTTGCTTGGACGCCCTACCGTCCTTGTCCGTATTGGAGGCAGGGGACGACTGCTTCCGTTTGGACCTAGGGGTCGGAGTTGACACCTGAAGAGGCAAAAGTTAGTGAAAAGAGAGCAAGATAATACAATTGATTGTCCGTGTCTAGTTAGGAAGAAGATCTCTTCTGTAATTCCTACACGGACGCAGGAATACGTCTGTGGGAACCCAGAAGGGAGGACCTTCCAAGCATCCCAGCACGGACGAAAAGAAGAAATGGAGGTGGATATACTTACTTCTTTAGATTGCTTGTACAGCTTCCAACGAGCCTTGTAGCGGGCCAAGTCAATCTCCAACATATTCACATCCCCTTTCTGCTCTGAGTCCAGCATCTTGTACGCCTCAGCTGTAAAAGAAAAGGAAGAAGTGTTAGAAAATCCTTCAATTTTAAATAACCTATGTATGTGTAAAAATATACGTCCATGCGTCCACCTTGGGGCAAGTTCTTGTACAGGCCATAGGCGGACATGAACGTGGGATCCCGTAGCCAACTGGATAAGGGGACCTAGTTGCTTGAAACGCGCTCAGTTTTTTCCGTTCTTCCTCACCCTCTTGACTTTGAAGTATTCAAGCTGGTGCTCTTGGCTGGGGTGGACGGGTGGCTTATCAGGCTTGAGGTCCCCGCGTCCAAGCTGAATTAGTTCAGCATTGAACCGATTCATCTGCAGGTTGAATTCAACATCTTTGGTCTTGGATCGTTAAGGGGTGTAACCTTCACCTCGTGAACGGTTTACAAGTTCCTTAAAAACTTGTTGGCGACTCTTTTGCTCTATCTTCTTCCCTTTTGGACGCCACTGTACTTTAGTGTATGATCACAGTGGGGTTCAAGCTAGTAGGATTTTAAAGGCTTGAAACTATTCCCTACAGGTACAAACCCTAGAATGGGGCACGAGTCCCACCCCTATAAATACCCCAATCATTTATGATGGGAGGGGTGGATTAAGACATTACAACAAAAAGAGCATTAATAGCTCCAACTTCTCTCTACTTTCTCTCTCTAGCCTTTTCCGCTTCCAATCACTAACTTGATCGTCGGAGGCAAATATTCCGACAATCGGAATATTCGTTGTTTTGCAGGTTGGACCGTCTCGTTGCCAGGAGAGCGTGACTAGTATCCGAGGAAATCTAAAAAACACCCGAAACACTCCTCTTTTTTTTTTTTTGAGAGATTTCAATTCAATTTCAATTGCTTCTTTCCATTTTGGCGAATCGCTTCTTTGTCCACATTCATCAATGGATTTTGGCTCATGATCCTCATCATCATTCATGACATCTAATGCTACATTTCATGCAAGAACATCATTGACGTCGATTTGGTTTCGGTTCCATGTAATTCCAGACATGATAAAATTTGTTAAAATATCTTCATTGCTAAGCACCTGAATATCTTTTTCCATCACGTCTAAGGTCTCTTCAAGAGTTCCTTCAACATTAATAGCTTCCTCGTCTGGCCATTGTCAATTGTTGCTCCTTTTCTTTTTCGAGGATTTTTATCTTTGGAATCGATGGGTCTACCACGCTTGAGGCGTGCTTTAAAATCATTTGCAACTTGGGTTTGTCCTTTTGGGACATCAATCTTAATCAAAGCATTTTCAGCTGGAATATGTGACTTTGTCACTTTCTATAGGTCAGTAAATGAGTCTGGCAGTTGATTTGCTAAGTTTTCTAAATGAATTATCTTTTGGACTTCCAATTCACATTGTTTAGTACGAGGATCTTGGTGAGATAATGATATTTCATTCCAACTAATTTCCTTTTCCAACTGTTTGTTTTCTCCCCCTAATGTTGGAAAGACTAATTCATCAAAATGGCAATCTGCATAACGAGCGGTGAATAAATCTCCTGTGGTTAGCTCTAAAAACTAAATTATCGATGGAGATTCATATCCAACATATATCCCTAGTCTTCTTTGAGGGCCCATTTTAGTGCGTTGTGGTGCTGCAATTGGAACGTATACTACACATCCAAATATTCTCAAATGGGATATATTTTGGTTCTTGACCAAAAACCAATTGTGATGGGGAAAACTTATGATGACTTGTCGGTCTGATGCGAATTAGTGTTGTTGCATGTAATATAGCATGCCTTCAAGCAGAAATTGGGAGCTTAGATTTCATAAGGAATGGTCTAGCAATCAATTGTAAACGGATAAGATCAAATATAAACATGTATATTGTTTAGGGTTCCATCAACGGATAAGATCAAATACCGAACTCTAGAGTATTCTAGATAGTACATGAGATAATAGTCATCCACATTTAGATATTTCATAACAATTTTAGATATTAAATTTCTTATTTCATTTTTTTTTTTAAAAAAAAAAAAGCCTAAAAGGACACTAAAATTCAGCAATTAAAGTCATACAACATCTATAATTGATATATAATGATAATGAAAACAGATTTAACAAAATCAAACAAAGAATTAATCGGACAAGTGCGAAGAATCCAAATACATAGATATAACAATTCGGCATATTCTCGATTTGTTCTCTCATACAATTTTTTGAGTGGATCCATCAACGCTTCAATATT